TTAAATTAAAATTATTGTCAAAGTAATTGAAATCAAATCGTGTTAAAATGAACTAAGTGAGAAAATATCTATAAAATAAGATTTACATATACAAAGATCTCCAACAACTTGACAACAAGATATTAATCATACATTTAAATCTCAACCAATCTCAAAATAGTTCCCAATGATTACACTAAATCTACATATTTCCAAAAGTATTAGGTTCTGTTTTTATAAAGGGTTAAAAATGTTTTTAAACTTGCATATCGGCAGTGGAACCCTACACTTATTACAATGTGGTGAGAGGTAAATCAAATTTAACTTCTTTTTATCTTACGTTGCTGGAACTAAAATAATAGATTCCTGATTTATAACATCAAAGAGTCATGAGTACAATTACATTCCGATTTAAAAAATATGTTTAGAAAAAAAATTATAGTAAAAATAAATGCATATAGAGAGAAAGAATAAAAAGTGATTAGAAAAAACATGATGTGACCCGATAAACTTACATCTTCTATTTGTTCATTGTATTTTAAATTATTCGGGTTTTGGTCCGTTCACACAGACCGGGGCGGTTAACAGAGATTTTTATCGCAAATAAAATTGGACCCCACATAATTGAAACAAAGTTTAATTTTACGTAACACGTCTTTTTTTCGCTTACTCTTCATAAGAAAAAGGTTTTCAAACTAAAATCCTTGTTTCATTCATATTATAAAGCTCAATTTTATTTGCAATAAACTACTCTCCGTCTAAACAGATCCTTAGAAAATACTTATTTACGAGATTTACATCCAAATATAGTGGAAATAAGTTTACAATGTTACGTACATATTTATGGTGGGTTTGGATTACAATTATTAAAGTTTAAATAAGTACTAACTGAATAATATAATTTTATAAAAATTGTGCGTCTTTAATTTGCAGCCTAATAAGATAGTAAGTATAAAGGCGATAAAAATTATTAATTGCCTTCGTTTTAGTATTCTAAGATTGTCTATACCAAACAAATCCAACCTTGTAACCATAGACAAACTAGAATTTACGCTAAAATTCGTAAATTCCAAGATATTTCTGATAAAACTTTCTCACATAACATTAGTTACCCTTAATTTACAAGATCACTTCATTTTTATCTTTCAATTTCCAAAAAAATAACTAAAAGAAAGTTAAATAACATAATGGCCGCCATGCACAATACATGGCGGCCATTTTGACGGTAACATAATTAAGTCTTTCAGTATAAAAGAAAGCTACTGAAAAAGACTTGTAAATTTTACACATTTGGTAGATTTATGGCAGTTAAATTTGTGACAGTTCATTAATTTTATTTAGGGCACCTTAAATTTGTATTTCAAAAATAAAATATAGCAACTTATTTATCATGTTATATAGTTTAAAAACTAAATTGTTCTAACTTAAAAAAATCAAATTATTTTTAAATTATGCTATTATTAAAAATATGAACAATTTTTTGATACTTAGAATACGTTTTTCGTTGTATCATTATTGCGTTACGTATAATATTACGTAGTCAAAAAATTGACAAGTTATTGAGTAATTGCTTAAAAAAAATTATTAAAATTTGAGCATTAAATTAATATTTAAATCCATTAAAGCATTTAAATGGAGCAATTGTTTACGTATTTTATTAATTAAGAAATTTTTTAGCAAATAATCATAAAATTGGATCTGGAAATAACCAGAGAAATAATTGAAAATTAAACATAACTAAAAAATACATATTATTTACGTTGTTCAAAAAATGTCTAATTTCATTAATTAAATTGCATAAAACTAATATATGTACTGAATTTTGCATTTTTCATGCTAATCGCGTGCACACAATTCCTGGACATAATCATGTTCAAGCTATTAGTTAAAATTAAAAATAATTAAAATAGAAAAAAAATGGCAGTGACACGTAGTTAGACTTAAATGGCGTTTGCATTTGGCGTTGCTTTTTCTTCAACACTGTAAAGTGGTCCATAAAAATATGAAACCTCCTTGGATGAGATGCTACGTGTTTGCGTGCATTAAATTCATGATATGAATGTGTCCGGGATGATCAACTGTTACAAAACAAGAAAACTTCTCGTCACAACAAAGTTTCTTCGCATTCACACCGGATAATTTTATGCAAGCCAAAATTTCTTTCTTCTTTGAACCTTCTTTGCAACTAAAAAAAAAATAATACAAAGTAAAATTAAAAATGTAGGAAAAGATAAATGACTACATAATTATAGGTTATTACAACTTAAAAATGATTTAAGCCACATTTTGGACAGTGAATCATTATCTAATACCCAATATAGTTTATTTTAGTTTGGTATTGCTCATATCATTATAATTTAGATTATTGTCCCAATATAGTTATTATATAGCAACACCAAACTAAAATAAATTCATTAACATTTTCAAATACTTACGTTTTCCCTTTCCAAAAGCATTTCCAGCACTCCTGCGCATTCATCAATCCGGAGCCAAAGAAGAAGTTATTGTGTGCACTTTCAATATGCAAGTTGTCCATCGCTGTGGTAAGATTCACCGTGTCTACTGGACTTGCGATAGGCGTTACTGCATTCCAGCGATTCCTAAACCATAAAAATAATAAAATCTTACTGCCGTAGGAAAAGTTACTTACTGGTGATTTAAATATTTGCTTAGTGGAGATTTTCCATAATGAATTTTCATTAACTTGTTCAATGACCCGTTAATATTTTACCATTAATTTTTTTTATCAAAAATCTTTATTGTTCCACAAACTAAATTAATTTGAAAAGTGAAATCTGCTCTGAGAGTTCGAGAAAGTGCAAGCAAAAATATTTACATTACAGTTTCATGTCAAAACTTAGGACATACCTCCAAAAGTTTTTATTAATCCTGGTCTTCATGATATATGTAATGTTCCACCAGACGATCTCCGCTGCCATGGTGACGAGCACGAGGGGCGGGGCGTCGTCGTCAGTGGGCGGGGCGTGGGCGATGGG